GATTATACCTGTTATACATGGTGTGAATATCAATTACTGAATTTACTGAATTGTATCTTTGTTTTTGTAAACCGGAAAAAATGAATGTGAATTGATAATTATAGAAAACTATCAGTGCATAAATTTAGGTTTACGGCTAGACTGTGGTTTGCTTTGGCGCGTTGGGCAGCAATTAATGGGACCATTAGATAATTCACTAAAGGTTAGTGGAAGAGAATCCAGAGTTTTAATTATTAATAACACCGCTTGCCGGATATGAAAAGGCTGTCTTCGTTGGATAATAATTTATGACCAAAATTGTAAAAAAAAAAAAAAAAAAATGCAAACGTAATAAAGAAAAAGGTGATTGATATGCATTCTTATAAACAATACATTGTTGTTTATGAGGTTCTGTAGGCCAGGTCTACAGCAGAAGCGCAGGCCGGGTAGTCAATACCACCCAGTGGCGATCCAGGAATTGAAAATAGAGGGGGCCTGGGGATCGGTACTTTCACAGAAGATCTATGCCAAAATTTGTAATTACGTCCGGCACCTGGATGGAAATTTCCCTCAGACATAAAATTTAAATATAATTTTCTTTAGGCTTATATCTCCATTTGAACAATTTGGGGTGTGGGAGTGGCAGGGAAAGGGGTTGTTTAATTAGCCACTGCCACCGACCATTTTATTATGAGCGAGAACATTCGTAAACACAAGAGCCTGCTTTGTAGGCGGTTGCAATGAGTGCTTTCAGACTGTAACCCATGTTGACTGGACTGAACTCTCAATTTGTAAAATTGCCTTTCTGGGCCCCTCTATTTCGAATTCCTGATCTGGCATCGTTCTCTAATCAAAACTGCACGAAGTGCCAGAAGGGGGAAGCATCAATATATACGTACATTTCATCAACACTCATAGTTAAACAGTTTTCCCTGCCTCGTCATAATGAGTCCCGATAGACCGAATAGCCCATATGTCAAACCCAATTTTATATTTTGAGCAATGGAGCAGAATTTCTTTGTTTGATACCTTAATTAATTCTATTTGGAAACTGTATTAGGGACATTGGAATTGTGCACATAAACAGAATAAGCCTTGGACTTCACTTTGATTAAATTCGTTCGTGTTGGAATGTTTGTCTAAAGTGATACATCGATGGTCTGTCCGTCATCAAAAGCACAAGTAGGCTAAAATTAATAGTTCGCATTCTACAAACAATTAATTAATTAAGTATTGCGATCATAGCGTTTAGCATACAAAAACCATTATAATGGTTCCAGAGCGGAAAGTCATTAGGCCCACACGTAATACTTCTATGACTGTGTGTTTCCGGGTGTTTTTTTTTTTTTTGTCATGGCTCAGACCACGGAGGAAATATATTAAGAGGTTATTATATTAATATATTTCCTCCATGCTCAGACACACATCAGCCGAATGTAGTACAATTGTTTATCAATGTGATTAATCTACTCAATAAACAATTTTAATTGTGGGTAACCCACATCTTTATATACGACTTTTCATGGATCTCGACCGGCTATGTAGGCCCTCTTTAGGCTAGACGCGCCTAGACGGTTCGAAACGACGATCGAAGAAAAACGGTTAAGCAAGCCAAGGACTTCGCTAACTTCCATTCCTCAGTATTAAAATCCTTCCATTGATGGGCACTGTCTAAAATTATCTTCCAGCTTATCTCTGAAAAGATTGTAACCTTTTCGTCTGCAGTTGGCTCAACATGAATTACACAGGAGCAAGTGAGCTTCCATGACGACCTAGGCTCGGACATGACATGTTGTTGTTTGTTGTTATTTCGCGACGTCATCAACGAGACTATTCATTATCGACCATCAACTAAACTGCCTTAAAAAAAACTGGCTCGTGTGGGAATCGAACCCACGACCTTAAAAAATGAAAAAAAAAACTTGCCCCGTGTGGGAATCGAACCCACGATCGCCGAGTTTACTACCCTTGATCCAGCATGACTAAACGGAGGGAGGTAAACCACGGCCCCTAAGCCATAAATGCGATAAACCTAGTACCACACCAAGTACCTGTTAGTCAACTCTGATCCTACTAGAAAAAATTCTTTGTATATATACACTGCAGGTTAATATTACGCATGGTCATGGTGTCAAAAATGGGCCTTGGGCCAAGAGGGTTTATTTTTATATCTAAAAATGTAGAATTAAATTTATAATCGATTTTTAATTGTTACCATCTCCATAACTTACGCACTTTTTTTTACATAGACAAAAATGTTTGAAAAATTCATTATGCAAATTAGAAAATAAAATAGACTAATCATGTTACGGGAAACCTGGTGGTTGTGTGTTCAATTCCCACACGAACCAA